CAGGCTGGAGTGCAGTGGCACGATCTTGGCTCACTGCAACCTCCGCCTCCTGGGTTCAAGCGATTCTCCTGCCTCAGCCTCCTGAGCAGCTGGGATTACAGACATGCACCACCATGCCCCGCTAATTTTTGTATTTTTGGTAGAGACGGGGCTTCATCATGTTGGCCAGGCTGGTCTTGAACCTCTGACCTCAGGTGATCCGCCTGCCTTGGCCTCCCACAGTGCTGGGATTACAAGCATGAGCCACTGCGCTCAGCCAAGATTATCTTTAATACTGCCTGATTTCCAAGTGAGCATAATTCAAATTGACATGGCTCTCTCTGAAGCTCCGTGGGGCTGTAAGGGACCATGGTTTAGCATCTCTGGGACACTGGAGCCCAGCTGTGTCAACCGGATGGGATCTTGGCTCTGGGTGTGGTTCTGGGGCCTGAACGCAGTGCGTGGAGTCAGGCTGTTCAGGTTCTAGTCTACCCTTTGCTGCGTCCTTGCAGCATGACCCTGGGCAAGCTCTTACCTTATAGGGCCTTAGCTTTCTCATCTGTGAAATGTGATGTGCTCTGGGGATAATGAGAGAAGTTCATGAACGCAGTGACCTGAGGCACAGAGTAGCAGCGAATGGAGGTTTGCTGGCACCAATCCCAGTGGAGGCTCGCCTGCCTCTCCCCGAACCAAACCGGCCCTCATGCTGCTTGGAAGACTTTACTCCCCAGGAGAGGGAAGCAGGTCAGGCCAGAGCTGGGAAGCCTGGGGCTCGGCCTCGCAGGAAACTGGGGCCTGCAGCTCATGTGCCAGGGTCACAGGCCTGGATTGGGCAAGAGCAGAGAACCGGTTCCTCTGATCCTGTTCAGGGATATTTGGAGACACCAATCGTTCTGGGGAATTTAGAGGCAGGAAGCGAAACGGGGAGGGAGGGGGGATATGGCAAATCCCACCCCAGCGCCTCCTGGCCTGGCACCCCTCCCAAACGGTGCACGGGAGAGTAAGGTGACTGGCCTGTGTGGTGGCAACATGATTCTCCTCCCTGGGGAGGAGAGCAGAGGCAACCCATCCCCCACTCCCGCCCCCACACTCCCCTCAGTCCCAATCCATTTCCACCTCTGTTTACTGTCCAAAGTCCGGGCACTGGAGATGCCACGTTTGGCGTGCTTGGACACACAGACACGCAGACACAGAGACACCGGGGCCCAGGGCCCTCCTATGGACCCTGCCCGCTCCCACTCCATCATCCACGGCTGTCCACCCACCCCCATTCTCCAAGCTTCAGCCCCCCTCCTTAGTCCGGCTTCTGCACAGCACTGAAGAACCTGGGCGTCAGACCCTGAGACCCCAAGCAAGTAAAACGGGAAGAGAGGCGGCGGGAGGCTGGCTGGGGGTGCAGGGGTGTGGAGGAAAGCCAGGCTGTATTGGGGGGTGCTGGTGGGAAACATCAGAGGACAGATTCTGGATGTCAGGCCTGGGGGTGGACGGAGGAAAGAAGAAGGGTCTCGGCCGGGCGCGGCGGCCCATGCCTGTAATCCCAGCACGTTGGGAGGCTGAGGAGGGCGGATTGCCTGAGCTCAAGAGTTCAAGACAAGCCTGG